TTATTTAAATGTATGTATATAGATATAGATATATATATATATAGCGTATAACGGCACGAAGCCTGTTTCTGGCGGTCTCGTCTTCTTCTCTCCTTTCTCTTTCGAGGGACAGAAGATTCGGATAATGGAAGCCCTTGAAGGCAACCAACGCCAAGAATCAGTCCAGGTGACACGGAGTCAGCTGATTTCCGGCTAAATAGACACGGTCGTACAAAAAGAAAAAACACCATTTCCCGTGCACTTCTATACCAAGTCCTCTTCGTATCACGTTCTACCATTTCGACCCTTCGTCCATTGATCGTGCGTTGAAGATTACGTTCTTCTCAAGCAGCATCGAAATTTCGGTATAACCCGGTGTATGAGAATTTCGGCGAGTATAGGCCGAAGAATATGAACCGAAAGTTCGTGTTGTAGAATTACAAACCGGGAGTATCCGCATCCTAAGTGCCACCCAGAACTGCATACCTCTCTCCCTTTCTCTCTCTCTCTCTCTTTCTCTCTTTCTCATGGGTCATGAAGAGTTTTCCCGCGAGCAACGCGGAAACATTATAGAAACATAAAAAGGGGCGGGATTGAATGAAACGTGGAGAGAAGGATTCGTCAGCGTTTGACAACGTCTACGGAGAACGTTCGAAACGTTGTGAAACCCTGGCCGAAAGGGATCAGTGTGGAAGGGCGTAAAGGGACTAAGGCCTCGCAATGCCTCCTCTCGGCTGGCTGAAACATATTGTCTCTATCAATCGATACAGATCACACGTCGACCTGTTTTCCGTGTCTTGATCGCCTCGCAGTATCTTGGAACATATTTGACGAACGTGTGAACGAACGTGGTAGCACCGTTAAACAAAGAAAATCGACTAAAAGAAAAACACGAGCAAGTGTGTATATAATAGAACTGAGATGGATCTGAATCGCGCGATCAACCGAGGGAAAAAGAGTCATAAATTAAATGACGATGACGACCGAGGCCATGTGAGGTAGGCGATATGAGGTACTCTGAAGGTCGGGCTGAGTTCGAAGATCGACGACTCACGTTGATGCCATGGCGAAGGCGGTGAGTGTACCCTGGGCGAGGCCGGCGTAGAATTTAAAGGGGTTCTTTCTCACGAAGGCCAGATAGATCAGCTGCATGATCACCAGCTGATAGAAAAACACACCGATCACGATCGTGACGATGAACCAGGCGAGCTGCGACATCACCAACGCCAGGTCAGCCACACCTAGTATTTTCCCGGCTATTACAGAGGTGATGCCCACCGGTGTCATCCTAACAACAGGTTACCAAGCAAATCGGTCACTTTTATCATACGCCAACTCTTTCAACTCCTCCCCGTACTTACCACATTACAGTCGACACCATTCGCATGATCACTTCGAAAACAGCCTTGAAGAAGTCGATTACGATCTGGCCTTTCTCGCCGAGTGTACCTAGGAATGTACCAAACACCAGGCAGAAGAAAACAATGCCCAACGTATTCGTGCCGCTTCTGTATTGTGTCACTCTCATTAGCTCCTCGTCGTCTTCCAGGACCTCGGAGGATATCGTGTCGGTGAGATTTCGGAAGGGTGGCGTTTTTGGAACGTATACCGTGTGCGCCTGCCGAAACAATTCGGAATAAGTGAGTTGAAAGGTGTGAAAAATGTGAAAAATGTGTGCATACCTGCTGGAACGCTGCTTGAAAAATATTATCTGGAAACATGTTTCTGCAACAGCGGAGAAAATTCTAGTTAGACAGAACACGACGCACGCCTCTTTTTCTATAAGTAGTTAATCGATAGTTGCGTTTATTGGCAACGATACGGCGTATAATTCCGTTAGTCGAGCGGTATGCACCGTGAACATACATATGTACACTTTTAAACGAGGACTTGTTTAGCTCGTGTGCAAATAAAGTACAACCGGATCGATACGCTTTTATTTTCGTCATGGCGGATATGATTCCCGATGATCGTTGGAAAAAGTTCACCGATCGTGAATCTAGCCGACCTTAATTCTCTCTCTCTCTCTCTCTCCACGGGACACCCGTGTCGTGCCGGATAATAATAATTTATCGTCGTGTGTGAATAAACGAAAGGGATAGAGACAGATGGAGCGGCGAAGGGAGGGAGGAATTAGTTTCACGGGGCAAATCGATAAATCGTTGGAAATAACGTTGACCCGAGTGGGAAGGTATTAAACGATTTAACTTGATTATTTCAGCTGGTGGAATAAGTTGGTATCGGGCACGCGAGGTTGCGACCAAAGTCGACGTGTCACGGGTGTCCCCCCTGTCATCGTCCACCGTGGAAATACACAGTAGAACGCTTTCCTCGTCGGCGAACCAAAGGATTCTACTTTTATCGTGGGAAAATTCCGAGACGGTGTGTTGGCGTACACGTCGACGCAGAAGAAGTACAGAAATAACGAGCGTGATCGATATCTAACGGCGAAGAGAATTTCACGAGGGAACGACGACAAGAATAAGTGAGAATACTACCTTCCCAAATCGAGAAGGCTGTCCAAGATGTTGACGGCTCTCCCGCTGTGCGAGGTCGTGATCGATTTTCTAATTCCAGGATTACCCGGATGGATGAGCAGAACCAGGACAACGCCAAGGACAGCGTTCAGCAGTGACGAGAGGATAAAGTACACCAGTGTTCGGACAGCGATCATTCCGTTCATTCTTGCGTTCAAACTCGCCGAGCCTGAAATATCCGTCGTACGTCGTATCATTCGAATTCGTTTTTTCATTATTTTCTTCTTAATCACCGTCTCCTCCGTTCCGATAATGCATTTTAGACAGCGTATAGTTACCCGATATAAGGCTGGCAATCACCAGTGGTAGGATCATTAACTTTAACAACCTCATGAAGAGCTCTCCAGGATAACTGATTAACATAACTGCGTCATCGCCGAGGCCCAAGGGTCGCAAACCGAACCCTGAAAAAAGAATAACGAGATTACTGCTGTGACAGCTGCTTCTAGAGGGCTTAAGGCTATTCAAGGTGAATCTGATGAAATGACGTAGCAGGATGAAAACAAGTTCAGCATCTGGAACTCTGGCTCGTAAAAAAAAGTTATACCCTTATGTACCTACTGCACAAGTATAATACTGTATATACACATGGTATATTGTATCAACGGATGAAAGAAAACGGTGCTTTAAATCTGTTTGGTAAAGTGGAGTTTTCCAATAACTTTTCACGGGAATGAACAACTCTCTGGTTGTCTATAGGCTCGGTTGAATTCTAGGAACAATTGCTCCATCGACGTGTACACGTGCATTCGAAGAGATGTTGTGCACCTAAGGAATATTACACGTTAATGAAACGCGAGCAACCCCGAAAAAAGAAAGAAAGGAACGCGTTATTCGCAATAACGAGGTGCAAATGAAAACACGTCGACGAACGAGAGTCGTTCGAAGAAGGAAAAGAAAGAGGAAAAAGAAAAGAGTCGCTTTCGACGTATTCCCGAAGAGAAGTTGGCCGCGTGGATAAAAAGGTTCGTTCAAGGTTGCCCTTTCGGCACCGAGGGGGCAAGTTAATTAGATGAGACTGTTCGAAGGAAACCTCTCGCCGATGATTGGCACCTTTTAACGGGATAACGTGCTCGCGTTTTACGTAACGAGCGTTAATTTCCGCGTGGATCGTCGGCGTTGATCGAGCGCGCGATCTATACGTTTCTTCTTCTTTTTTTTCGTTCAACTGTCAACTCGAGTTCACGGCGACTGACGGTTTCTTGCGAAATTAATCGGCTCAGGGTAATGGTGGTGGGCAAAGGAAACGTCATCGAAGAAGTATAGTCATTGGGCGATTACGAAGCCCCGATCGTTAAGCAGCATGCATAACCAGCTGTTATTAACACGTGCGTGATATTTTCGCGCACGTGGCATGCGAGGGCGTTTCTCGGTGGCGACCGAAATTCTGGCTGAAACGACGAAAAACTGGGAGTAGAAAAAGGGAGAAAGGAAGGTTGCTTATCTCTGTGTAGGAGCGTGGGATCGATCGTTGTGGAAAAAGTAAGATCGGCCGATATCGGATGAACTCGACCTTGCCACGCTTCCCCGTAATGGACGAAAGCGTAGGACGGTTTTGGCACGATTTTGCCATTATCTCGAGTACATAATGGACTCCTAGGCCGCCTCGCCGAATTTTTCATACGCGCCCGCGTAGAATTGCCGGGGATATAAAAAGAAACGCGATTCGTCTGTTCTGCTTTCGATCTAGCCGCGGCGGCACCCGAGTTGACATTTACTTGACATATAAGGGGTGGTGATTGGTTCACTCGCGATGTAGAAACGTGGCGCCACGTCGTACACGATAATGAATCAGGTCAACGCGTAAAACCGTTAATACATATTAGCGTTAGGATGTTCGGTATCGGGTATAATCGAGGTGTGTTGGTAACTTACCAAGTATCACACCGAACAGCACACCGGAAAGTGTGACCACGAGGAGAAGATTCTCTCGCATGAACTTCCTGGTGTCGGCGGTCACCTTACGGGGACCCTGAGAGGCCGACACGTCCTGGCCATCCATCTTGGCGAACAGGTACTCGGAGAACCGAGCCGAGGACTTCTCCTCCATTTCACTGGGCCGCCAGTAAGCGGCGTAGGTGGTGGTGGTGGAGCCGGTCGCGCACGAGGAGGCCGATCCTCTGGGCGATCGCCCGGCCGTTGATTCTGCCAAGCTCCCTTCTCGCGATCTCTCGCGGCTAACGGCGGGGCCCGGAACGAGCGATCACGCGCTCCCACCAGACGTCCCAATAGCCTGGCGGCCTTGCGAGAGCCTGGTAACTCGATCGTGGTACCAACTTCCGACGAGACCACCTCTTTCCTATCGAGTTCACAGGGATCAATCGGTTTGTCGCAGCCGGATGGCCTCGAGTTACTCGCCTCGTTCACTTCGAGTCACGCGTAATCAAACGTCACTGTTTCTTCAAGCTGTGTGAAAACTGTTGGATGGATCTTCCTTTCTCTCACTCTCTCTCTCTCTCTCTCTCTCGCTCTCGCTCTCGCTCTCTCTCTCCCTCTCTCGCTCGCTCGCTTCTCTATGCTTTCTAGGTGGAGTAGCTTACTTTTACGAGGATCCTCGAACGATAACGTGTCGTAGTCGGTGGATTTCTCGAGTGGCAGAACTAACGATCAATGTTCCTGGCGAGGTCACCGGTCTCTTCAAATGTTTCGTTGAATCAGCCTGAACGTTCGCGCTGTTGCACAGGGTCAGTTACCTCTGAGAGCTGGCACCCTGCACCTTCGAGCGATATCGCCGCTTTGCATGCACGGGAATCGCCTCGAGTCGCGTGACTTTCCTTTATGTGAAACCGCTTACGGATCGATCGCGAACACTGGCCGACTGTGAAGTCGAGGAAAAAACGAGGAATAAAAGTATCTGGATGAATTTCGATGCTCGTTTAGATTTCAATGCGGTTATCACGAAGGATGAGCCCCAACTGGCCGGTTACTGGCGGACATATACGTATTGATTTACTGGGCCTCCCCTTTTGCCCCGGCGACCCCTACCCCTCTCTTAGGGGGTTCGGTTGGATGACGCTTGCGCGAACTCTCGGTGGCTAAGTCGGTCGCCAGAAACGAGGATTGTGTACTGACACCGATGATATTGTCGTTTGATTGTGCATCGCAAGCAACGCGATAGTCAAAGGGGGGAAAATACAAAGGAGTCGAAATAAAGGTGCTGCTGCTTTGATATCCGAAATGAGCGAAGCATGTGACGCTTTCATGATCACGGAGTGTATCTCACAGATATACATATACATACATACACGTAGATACGCTTCGTGGAAAGAAATCAGCCTATTCTCGCCAACCGAATTGCTTCACCTTGCATACTAAGTCCTTCCATTTCGATGCCCTAAATACCTCCAGCGTTGAAATTTCGGAACTGGAAATAACGAAAGAATAGAGAAATTCGTTTATACTTGTTTAAAGGGTACGTGTTACTTTCGCAGACACTTTTTTACGTCGCTTTGATAGAATTTTAAGCGTGACCGTGTAGTTTGTTACCCAGAATGAGCAGGATTCGCGACACAACTTTATATTGAGTGGGAACGTATATACCCGATAAGTGTCCGACCGGGAACGAGGAGGTTCTACTTGCGCCTGACCGTAAAAGCTTTTACTACTGGGAACGGAGTAGGTGATTGTTGCCAACAACAAGAGATGGAAGCACTAGACTTTATTGCGATAATTTACACGATATCGAGCAATCTATAGATCCTTCCAATCAAAATCCTCTATCTTTTCGCTTTTTTATTAACTGTAAACTCGATGGTACAATTCAAATTGTAAAAACCTCAAGTTGTTTCACACATAAAAATGACGATCCTTGCAACGTTGAAAACGTATCGAGATATATTCGTACTATATTACAATTTCCGCGGATTTTTCGACTTGAAGATGGAAAAATCGATCGGTTCGAGAATCGAAGTTCTTCAATTTGAGAGGAATCGACTTCGTATATCATAATTTCCGCCGATTTTTCGACTTGAAGATGGAAAAATCGATCGGTTCGAGGATCGAAGTTCCTCAATTTGAGAGGAATCGTCTTCGTATATTATAAGTTCCGCCGATTTTCCGACTTAAAGATGGAAGAGTCGATCGGTTCGAGGATCTAGGCTCCCGAGTTCGAGAGGCATCGATCCTGAATAATAAATGGCAACTTACCGTCCAAGATCGTTTCGGTGTAACGGTACCCAAGTCGGGTCTCATCCCTCTCCTAAATAATCTATGGCCGTGAGCGCAACACCGGGAATGGCGTCTATATGAGACCTTCTATTTATCGAGTTCTTCGAACATATACAACCCACCGACGGTTTCGCGTCTTTCTCTTCGGCTTACGTTCAACTCGCTGCCTGAATTTTTCACGGTATCGGCGACGCCCACCGAAAGAAACGTCGTTTACAATCCTCCGTCGGACGGAACGTCTTGGCAATTCCCCGCCAATCCCGGTGATCTCGTTACGCGGATCGAGGGGGATCGAGGAGGATCGAGGGCGAAGGGAATAGCGAACGAACGAGGAACAGATTGAATTTGTATCGCGAGTCGATGAGAGGTGCCGGGGGAACGAGGAGCGAACAGGTAAATTCTTGAGATGCGATTCTCGTCACGCTTGAGCATGTATGTACGACAGTTGGTGTACACGCGTAAGCGAACGGAAAATTGACCTAGAATAGCGAGGCTATTCTCTAACGAAATTCGAAGGAAAATCACCGGCTGTGATTGGAAACACGTAGTAGAGCTTCTGCATGGTCGAACTACGTTCGGCGAGGCGAGACAAGTGCGTATCCGGTCGATCGTGACTTATAAGAGACGCGACACGATGCGAATCGTATTCGTACGCAGAGATACACCGTGTAAATTGTATTTTCCCCGACGTTGAACATTTAACACGTGGTCAGATTTAATAACGGACCAGCTGTGACGCTGTAGTTTCATATTTGCATCATATTGTCGTAACCATAACGTGATTCTCCATTGTTTACCCGCGAACCTAGCAAATCGGTTTAACAAGCACAAACAGGGTAGTTAGGTGGACAAAAGCGATCTGGGCGTGAATACTTGAACGCCGCCTGATCACGACCATTAATCTTCCTTTGCCTCCATCCCTCGCCGGTGCGTGTACCCGCGCTGATAAATTCGATTAAATCGCGTCAGAGAAAACAGAGAATCCCGCCTGTGACGCTTCTAGTGGACGGACCGAGGATTGGTAAAGCTCGCGGGGATAATAGCAGCGAGGTGGGAAACGCGCGCGAACAAGAGGGATCGCCGCGAACGAAGAAAAAAGAAACTGGGCTTGTTAAGTAGATTTAAGAATCACGTGACTGTGTTGCACAGTGGTTGGTCGGGTGAGTCGCCCGAAGCTTGAATAGAACTCGGAACTGTGGTGAAGACAAGGGCCATTATGTCGGCACGTAAAGCGACGTCAGCCAAAGCTCGAGTGTCCGTTCTTTCTTGCATCTCTCTAGCCAGCTTTCTCCTTCTTCTTTTACGATGTCGCGTTGCCCGTACACTCGCGCCCTTCCTTCTCTTCTTCACCTATTTTTCTTCTCCTTGGGTTGCTCAGATTTTCACGTCCGGTAAACGAGGAACCAGCGAGGAATCACCGGCGCATCCCTCGGGACTGGTTGTTCAAAATGCCTCCCCTCGGAGAACGTAAATTTCTCCATTCACCGACGTCACGTTCAATGTTCTGGAAGAACAGTAATTAAATTTGTCTGAGGGTAATTGTTCGTAACTCCCTGGAAAGATGGGTGTTTTGCTGCTCTTCCCAGTTGGCAAACTATATTATACATACGTATGTGTGTTGCCAACTATTCTACCTCTACGCACAGGTTTTTGGAAACGGCAACGAATTCGTGTAACAATGTACGTACTATGTAACAAAGCTGAACTCTCGCTCTTAACTTTGCACTGCTTCGCGCGTGCCTTTTCCACGACCATTCTTTATTCGTTCCAGGTTTTGCAGACATTCTCGAAGAACATTTGATCACGTCCACTCAGTGCAGACGCTTTTCTTTCACACCTTTATCGTTCCAGTCTTCTACTCTGTGGCAAGGGAAACTGCGGTGGAACGCAGCGGAACTCGGTTACCCTCGAAGCTGCAAATTTTTCTACTCACATTCCGCCCTCTTCCTCGCCTTTCCTTTTTTACATACTTTTGGAGTTCTTTGGCAATCAGTCACGAGCCTCGAAGATCGATCGATCCCGTTGAAAAGTTCGAGCCTGACCCATGTGGGCGACGGACTGCGGCATGAAATCTCGCGGAGGTTAATTTGGAAACGGTGTTGCTTGGAAAGGGCACGCTCCGGCGATTAAATCGGCGAATGGATGGCGTAAAATCGTAGATCACGCCGCTCGTTAGAATACCAAATATTTCCACCAACTTTTCCTCCGTCGATTAATTCCCGTAATACGCGGATAATTAGTTTTTCTTCCGTGAGCCAACAGAGGGACGTGATTAAAGTTAAAGCTATTATGAACGACTCGAGAGTTAACTCGCAAATGAAATAGATTAAACCGGAATGTTTCAGTTGGCGAATCGACGTTGTTCGAAGAATTGGATGTAACGGAGAACAAACGGAGCAATATTTCCTCGTCTTTGCTACATAGAGTTGCTCCGCCAGTGTGGAACGAACAAATGCATTTTCCGCGGACGGTGTTCGTTATCGGGGAATAGTTAGGTTGCTGCAGAGAAGGTATTGTTGCTGGTACAATACCGTTTCGGTATTAGGTGCAAGCGATACATGCGCCGCTATCTGCATCTAGTATGCTCTAATTCACGGCACGTTTGATAAGCAATAAATTACACCGCTGCCTTCCGATGGAACCGGAACAAAGAACACGTTCAACAAGTATAATGACCGCGCGTTAACACGGCCGAGAAATTGCTCTCTCAGAGCGAACGGGACGCTGAAAAATTGATCGACCACTTTCGATTCTCTCTTCTATCCTAAGCATCCTTCGCCAATTCGTTCCTTATCTTATCTCGTTTTCTACGCCTCTGTACCAACCGAGCCAGTCTACTCGTTCAGGCAAAAAGACACTTGTAACCAAAGTATTGGCCCTTTAAGATTATCGTTTCCCATCCGACCCTTAATTACGCCTTACGCCAGTCGTTCGTGTTAATTAACGATACCGAGGAGGGGAAAGGATCGAGGTCAGCGAGTCAGAAAACAAAAGGGGCTGACTTTGCAACAGATACTG